ACGAGAGAAAAAGCGAGAGGAAGAGAAAGAGAGAGAGGAAGAGAAAGAGAGAGAGAGAGGAAGAGAAAGAGAGAGAGAGAGGAAGAGAAAGAGAGAGAGAGAGGAAGAGAAAGAGAGAGAGGAAGAGAAAGAGAGAGAGAGAGGAAGAGAAAGAGAGAGAGAGAGGAAGAGAAAGAGAGAGAAGAAGAGAGAGAGAGAGAGAGGAAGAGAAAGACAGAGAGAGAGAGGAAGAGAAAGAGAGAGAGGAAGAGAAAGAGAGAGAGAGAGGGGAAGAGAAAGAGAGAGAGAGAGAGGAAGAGAGAGAGAGAGAGGAAGGGAAAGCGAAAGAGAAAGCGAAAGTGAGAGAGAGAGAGATGAAGAGAGAGAAAGAGAAAGAAAGAGAGAGAGAGAGAAGAAGAGAAAGAGAGTATACCGGGTGGAAACAGCTGCCGGTGACCCGGTTCCAGGTGGTGTCCCCCCCCCCTGCTTTCCGGTGGCCGCCGCTACTAATACTCCAAGGATGACCCCTGTCAGTCAGAGTGTGCCCATTGCTGGCTGGTCACGGTCGGTGCCTGTCCGACGGCCTAAAGGTCGAGGAGGCTCAGGTCAGTTATGCCCCCGCCAGGGCTAGCCGCCGGCCTCCCCGTTGACCGCGCGCTACCAATGTATAGAGGTCAAATCATACCCTTTACATTCTGGTGGCAAGCGGTGGTTGTTGGGACCTTTCGGCTCACAACTCGAACCAAGCTTTTCCGAAGAAATCCGCTCGCCACTGCAAACACAAGATGACAATCTTCAAACCCGTGAGTACACCTTTTGGGCCCCTTCTCTTTTCATTTCCTTTCTATCTTCTCCCTAAATGTGTTAAGCCGTATGATAGCGTATGAAGTCAAACATGAATATCGTTCATTTATTAAGTGTTTATTTATTTTTTTCTCGTAATTAGAGAATTATATTGTTTCAATTGCAACGAATTTAGCGCGCTCGTGATTTTATTCCTTTCACGAACATACACTCATTAATTTCTTGCCCATTTTCTGTATTGACCTGACCTCATGTGAAAGTCATTAAGTCACCCCGTCTAAACAGCTGGGGCGAATCTGACCTGACTTGACCTTGAGTGAATGACACAGAGAAATGGCTGAGAAAACAGCTTGCCATTCCCTTTTAATTGTATGCACTATTTGTCACAATATAGGGATAATGCATAGCAACCGTTACATGTTAATTGGTGACACGTTTTATCGGCGCTAAAACGGAGCTTGTAACGCGACTCGTATATCAGAATATAACGCCAAGAGATTATTCCTCATATCATAAGTGTCAGAGTGTCTGAGTACTTGAGGTTGCATTTATGCGTAAGTAACTCGTGCGTCCCGATGTAATGATAGTTAGATAACCAAAGTAATTCATACGCTCAGCAAATTTTAGCTGGTGTGACCGCAATTATGTCCATTAATTTAGGACTAGGGGTTAGGTCTGATTTAGGATCCACTTAATTAATCACACCCCGCTGTCACTGGCATGTTTGGGTTAATCCCATCGGTTTATGATTCATGTTAAATCCCCGTAGGGAATTTCATGAGTGCTATCATAGATCCGCAGATAGAGTGGGTTATTTATAGATTTCCACAGTTCGTTTAGCTTCATAAAATATGGCATTTTTGGGTCCAGTCCCCCGTCAATGAAGCCTGCATGCCCAATTAAGACTTACTTATTTTACCTCGGCAGTTCCAAGAAGATTCGCTTGCGAAGAAGCTTGCAAATAATTTTCACGTCACCATTCATTAATGCGTCATTCTGTCGCATATAATTAAATGTTAAATTCAATGTGGTAGTTGAAATAATTTTGCATGTCTATAAATAATTAGTCGCATTATTGTTAATATGAACTTTATTCTCCGTGTTGGCAACATTACCGCTCTGTATCAGGTCACTCTTACTTTTTGACATTCATCAATCACTGTCACTCAAACATGCACACACAGTCACCCACTCACTGACGCAGAACAAAAGACACTGAAACCTTCATTAATAGGGTTTGCTGCTGTCGTAGTTGCAGGCGTACGTATCTCTTTGCCCGCAATTTTGTGATGTGTGACTTGTACATGAATTCGTATTTTACATACTTTCCTATCTGTTTCGATATTTGGTTCAAGTACATCCGTGCGGATTGCCAATTGTCGTTTCCCTTACTTTATTCTCGTATCTATCAAGAGACAGTTTGGTAGTTCAAGATGTCCTTGCGGACGCTATCGCCGTCTCCCTCTCCTATTTTCCTCTTTCAACCTTAACTTTGTGAACGTAAAAACACAAGATGAAAAAAAAAAGATGAAAATAACGAAAATGCGACCTTAAAAACTGCAAATTATAAAACAAAATTCGGCTAGTGGCATTTAACACCTCTTCTCTGTTGTCTTTCTTTTCTCTTACTATCTTGGCCCTTATGTGTATAATATAGTTCGCGATATCTGAAACGGCACCGAAGGAGGCCCTGCTGCAGAAACGGTCACCTTCGGAAGCTATTGAAAAACGTCATTGGAAGATCGCCAGAAGCCTGGAGACCAGGATGCTCGTCAGAGCAGGTATTAAGCCGCCCCAGGACATGGAAGGGCGCCGCCTTCCAGGACGCCCGTAGATCCAGCGAAGGACCGGAACCTCGCCAGCGCAGGTATCAGTCGCCCCATGATGCTGTTGACGGGCGCCGCCTGCCTGGACGCCGCAGATCCAGTCAAACTCCAGGAGCTTGTCAGCGCAGGTATCAGCCGCCCTGTGATGCCGAAGAGGACGCTTCCTGCCGGACGCGCGTAGATCCTGACGAAGATTACGAGGACGTCTGTACGAGCGCACAGCCGAGAAGGACCTGGAGGAAGATCTGCGAGACGTGCATAGGGCGAGTAAGCCGCCGAGTTATACCTGGACGTGGACTACAAGGAAATCTGGGGGAATCTGAAGTCAAGGAGTACCTGTGCGAGACCTTCGAGGACGAGTGGATGTCGAGGATGGACGGATTACAGGGACCAGGACAAAGATGACGACAAGGACGAGCAGCCACAGAAATGCACCAAGGATACCGCACGCGAGATCGAGGACGAGCAAGTTAGGACCAGCCAGAGAGAGAGAGAGGAGAGAGAGAGAGAGAGAGAGAGAGAGAGAGAGAGAGAGAGAGAGAGAGAGAGAGAGAGAGATTGAAAAGAAGAGAGGAAGAGAAAGAGAGAAGAGAGAGAAGAGAACGAGAGGAATAGAAAGAGAGAAGAGAAGAACGAGAGGAAGAGAACGAGAGCAAAAGAGAGAGGAAGAGAACGAGAGCAAAAGAGAGAGGAAGAGAACGAGACAAAAAGAGAGAGGAAGAGAACGAGAGAAAAGAGAGAGGAAGAGAACGAGAGAAAAGAGAGAGGAAAAGATAGAGAGAGAGAGGGAGAAAGAAGAGAAAGGAGAGAGAGAGAGAGAGAGAGGGAGACAAAGAAAGAGAAAGGCAGAGAGAGAGAGAGAAAGAGGGGCAAAAAGAAAGAAAGAGAGGCAGAGAGAAAGAGAGAGAGAGAGGCAGAGAGAAAGAGAGGTAGCGAGAAAGGGGCAGAGAGAAAGGAAGAGAGAGAGGCATAGAGTAAGAGAGAGAGAGAGAATAAAGGAAAGAGAGAGAGAGGGGGGGGGGAGCAGAGAGAGTGAGAGAGAGAGTGAGATGCTGAGAGAAAGAGAGGCAGAAAGAGAGAGAGAGATAGAGGGGGGGGGGAGAGAGAGAGAGAGAGAGAGGTGGGGTGGGGGGGAGGGAGGCAGAGAAAAAGAGAGAGAAGCAGAGAGAGAGAGAGAGAGCAGAGAGAAAGAGAGGGAGAGAGAGGCAGAGAGAAAGAGAGAGAGGCAGAGAGAAAGAAAGGCAGAGAGAAAGGCAGAAAGAGAGAGAGAGAGAGAGAGTTAGAGGCAGAGAGTGAGTTAGAGGCAGAGAGAAAGAGAGAGAGTTAGAGGCAGAGAGAGAGAGAGAGAGAGAGAAAAGGGCTAAGAGGTAGATAGAGAGAGAGAGAGGGGGGCAAAAAGTGAGAGGGGGGGCAGAGAGAGAGAGAGAGAGAGAGGGGGCATAGAAAGAGAGAGAGGGAGAGAGAGGCAGAAAGAGAGAGAGAGAGAGAGAGAGGCAGAATGAGAGAGAGGTAGAGAGAGAGGCAGAATGAGAGAGAGGTAGAGAGAGGCAGAATGAGAGAGAGGTAGAGAGAGGCAGAATGAGAGAGAGGTAGAGAGAGGCAGAATGAGAGAGAGGTAGAGAGAGGCAGAATGAGAGAGAGGTAGAGAGAGGCAGAATGAGAGAGAGAGAGAGAGAGAGAAAGGGGCAGAGGGAAAGAGAGACGGAGAGACAGAGAAAGAGAGAGAGAGAGGCAGAGAGAAAGAGAGAGAGAGAGGTAGAGAGAAAGTGAGAGAGAGAGAGAGGCAGAGTAAAAGAGAAAGAGGCAGAGAGAAAGGGAGAGAGAGGCAGAGAGAAAGGGAGAGAGAGAGGTAAAATACGAGGCTACTCACAGTGGCAAAGAAGAGACAGAACAGGAAAGAACTTCGGTGTAGCTGTGTGCTATAAAGAGAACCTGCAAATTCAGCTGCTAACAGTAGACTTACCAGACTGGCTGGAAGCCATCTTTATGAAGGTCATGTTGAAGTCAAATGAGTCCCTAATACTTTGCACTCAGTACAGGCCGCAGTGGCAAGACAGGGCACCGATGGACATCCTAACGGAAAATTTAGACGTCCTTCAGGCTCGGAACTACTGTCAGCATCTCTTTAATAGTTGGGGACCTTAATCACCATCTCATCCAGTCAGCATATGAGGACCTTCTCACAGTTCACGGGCTGACAGATTACGTCGATTTCCCGACGCACATCCTCGGTAGATCTCTCGACCCTGTTATATCGGATCTAACTGAGGACTTTATCTCTTGCTCATCGCTCGGCAATATAGGGACATCAGATTACCTTGCACCTTGCCCCCGCAGCTGACGAAAGGAGAAAGAAAAATATGGCTTTGGAACCATGCAAACTGGCCAGGTATGAAGGCAGAACTTCAGTCACAAGACTGGGATGTTCGCCTGGTGGGGAATGCAAACGACAAAGCATCTTCCATTACCAGCCTCCTCACTGAAATGCTGGAGAAATACGTCCCTTCACGGACATACATCACAAAACCAGGGGACCAAGCCTTGTTTGGCTACAGATGTCATCAAGCGTCCAAAAAGAAATACAGATTGTGGCAAAGGTACAAAGCCAATCCCACAAATCATAATAAAAATTGTACAAAAATGCTTGCAAAGAAATGACAGCCACGTGCAAATGGGCCCGCAACAGATGGCAAGAGGACACAAAGCGCAAACTGTCACTTTAGGAGCAGGCAGCAAGGAGTGGTGGTCGCTCGAGAAGGAGCACCAAGGGGAAACCCGGGAATCCACAATGCCTCCACTAACCAAGCCCGATGGAACAAATGCCTCGAGCAATCGGGAAAAAGCTAACCTTCTGGGAAACATGTTCAGTTGTAAAATGACAGTGCCAGATGCTAACAGGACACCACCAGAGATACTCTCAATGTACCATGAACAACTCCCTGGTCTTCAAATCTGTCGCATCAGAACAAAAGAGATCCCTCAGAACCTAGACACAAAGAAAGCCCCAGGTTCAGATGATATTAGCAGCTGAGTTATCCCAGCCTTTATCATCTATCTTCCAGTCGTGCATTGAAGAAAGCTGCTGGCCTACTATCTGGAAGGAAGCAAGAGAGATTCCTCTTCATAAAAAACAGTCAGAAACAAATCCAGAGAACTACCGGCCCATCTCCCTTCTGCCATGCATCAGCAAGGTATTTGAAAAGATCATTGCTGAACAGCTCATGAAACACCTGGAAAACCATAATCTTATTTCCGTCAGACAGTTTGGTTTTAGATCCTCCAGATCGACTGCTGACCTTCTACTGTTGAGTAAAAACTGGCAGGGTGCTCTTGATGCCGGCCAAGCTACTCTGGTGATCGCCCTCGGGCGCCTTCGACCGAGTGTGGCACAAAGGGCTCCTCACTAAACTACAAGCAAGAGGCATAAGTAGTAACCTCTTGCGGCTCTTTGATAATTATCTCACTGGAAGAATACTTAAAGTGGTCATCGGTAGCCAGTCATCCCAGAAGTATCCGGTATAGGCTTCTGTACCACAAGGATCTGTACTTGGCCCAATCCTCTGGAATATTTATATTGATGATATGCTGAGGGAACATCCTGAAATCAATGCATATGCCGATGACTGTACACTTTCTGTTTCATACCAACGTGAGGACCACGACGCTGTAGCAACGAATATGAATTCAAAGCTGCAAGCAATTTACGAATGGGGATCACAATGGCAAGTAAGATTTACCCCCAACAAGACCCAGGCAATGGTTGTATCCCGCTCTCCAGCTGCATCAGGCGTCATGAAAGACACAATCTTAATGAACAACACCGCCCTTCCACTCGAGGACTTGATCTCAGTCCTCGGTATAGACATAGACAGTGGTCTAAGAATTAACCGACACGTCAGCAGGATCTGCAAAACAGCTTCCTTGAAGGTGACAGCCCTTCGACGCATATCTCATCTCCTGAATCCTCAGGGAATTCTGACGCTATACAAGTCCCAGATCAGACCACACCTAGAATATGCCTCGTTGGCCTGGTCGTCTACTGCGGCCACCAGCCTCAATAGGCTGGATATAGAAAATAGAAAAACGGGCTCTCAGGCTTATCCAGGAAGCCACCAATCTTCGCCACATCGACGCGCTGGAACATTGTCGTGACGTCGGGGCTCTAACGGTGCTCCACAAGGCTCAGGTGCAGCAGGTGCCTCATCTAAGCAGCCTCCGTCTCCCACCCTACGGCCGAGAGAGAAGTACGAGGACGGTACACTCTAATCGGCTCCTGGTGGAAGTTCCGAGGTCGCGGTCTAGCCAGCATCAGCGCACCTTCTCTGCCAGAGCAGCACGTCTGTGGAATGCATTCACATCCACCATCGATGTCACCGAAATGACAACGCAACAAGTGAAGGCAGCGGCTCACCAATGGCGGTCGAGCCAGCCATCACCTCTTAACCTCCTACACTCTCATGGCGAAACATTGTATATAACCTTATTATGGATTAATTAACTTTTAAAGTCTGTGTTAGCTGAATAAATTAACGTTTATTGTTTATAAAAAAAAAAAATAGGTTGAGTTTTCAAATAAGCTCCTTAAGATAGGTAACTTTTAACCTGCAAAAAGAAACTTGAATGTTTTTACTTTTAAACAAACGGGTTTCAACCCATATGTATACCTGTATGATTATAAATAAAGGTTAGAAAAAAAGTAGAGAGAGAGGCAGAGAGTAAGAGAGAGAGAGAGAGAGAGAGGCAAAGTAAGAGAGGGAGATGAGAGAGAGAGGGAGAGTAAGAGAGAGAGGCAGAGTAAGAGAGAGAGAGAGGCAGAGTAAGAGAGAGAGGCAGAGTAAGAGAGAGAGGCAGAGTAAGAGAGAGAGAGAGAGGCAGAGTAAGAGAGAGAGAGAGGCAGAGTGAGAGAGAGGCATAGTGAAAGACAGAGAGAGAGGCAGTGTGTGTGTGTGAGAGAGAGAGAGAGAGGGGCAGAGTGAGAGAGAGAGAGAGAAAGAGGGGCAGAGTGAGAGAGAGAGGGGCAGTGTGAGAGAAAGAGAGAGAGGGGCAGAGTGAGAGAAAGAGAGAGAGGGGCAGAGTGAGAGAAAGAGAGAGAGGGGCAGAGAGAGAGAAAGAGAGAGAGGGGCAGAGTGAAAAAGAGAGAGAGTGGCAGAGGGAAAGAGAGAGGCAGAGTGAGAGAGAGAGAGAGAGAGGCAGAGTGAGAGAGAGAGAGAGAGAGGCAGAGTGAGAGAGAGAGAGGCAGAGTGAGTGAGAGAGAGAGAGGCAGAGTGAGTGAGAGAGAGAGAGGCAGGGTGAGAGAGAGAGAGAGGCAGGGCGAGAGAGAGAGAGAGGCAGGGTGAGAGAGAGAGAGAGAGGTAGGGTGTAAGAGAAAGAAAGAGAGAGAGTG